AACGCCCCATTCAGGCAACACATGCGAGCTACCAAAAACAAACACAAACACGAGCACTTGCACACGCACACACACACACACACCCACACACACACAAACTAGACACCCATGCACAACCACACAACTTGGACAAACGCCACACAAAGAACGACAAAACCAAAAAAACAAACCATGAGGCATGAACAAACAAGAGACACAAAGCGCCATTGCCTCACATGCGCATATACAAAGACCTCTAGCAATGCGCTCAACACAAAAACGTATAGTTTCCTGTCACGCGCTCACAAAACAACACATGCAAATGCGCAGGCACGATCGCAAACAAACACAGTCTCCACTGGAGGCCGACTTGCCCGGCCGGCATCAGTGGGATCCCATGTCCGTTCCGCCTTCTTCAGCACGAAGCGAATGCCCTCAACGGCGCTGCCTGCGCCCAGGTCCTGCAAGCCCTGCTGCAGCTCTGCAAGGCTTCTGACCACTACGGTGGGCCTCAGCAGGTGTCAAGTGATTCAAAAGGGCCCAAATCACTTGCAACGGAAACTGAAGGCAGAAAGGGATGGCTGAATAAGTCTGACTTGTATCCTCTCTCTCTCTCTCTCTGCCCTTCTCCCCCTGCCTCCCTGTCTCCCTGCCTCCCTCCCTGCCTGCCTCCCTCCCTGCCTCCGTCCCTGCCTCCCTGCCTGCCTGCCTGCCTCCCTCCCTGCCTCCCTGCCTGCTTGCCTGCCTGCCTCCCTCCCTCCTATTCCCAAAAATACATGTCTCTTTTTTGTGAAAGAAGCAGCAAGCTCTTGAATCATTCTGGCAAACAAGAATCAAAAAAGGGGAGGGCCCAAAGGTAGATGAGCCAGGAACTGTGGTTGATTCACGGGTCTTCCGTGGCAACTCAGAGTCTGAACATATCACTGGTCAGAGTTGGGCCTGCTCAAGCAGTCTCCCGGGAAGTGCTGCTTAGTAATGGTTTGGAATATATATATATATATATACATATAATTATATATATTGCTTTGAGCCGACCCCGTACTGTTTATTTTTTGTAGTATTGGCTTAGTATTCTTTGCGCTGGCCCACATGTTGTTGCTTTCTCTTTTACTACCGTCAGAATTGATTCATTTTGCTTGGGAGGCTGTTGCCGTAAAGTGTGTCAGAATGAGTTTGGCTTTTTGAGGACTCTGGCAGAGGATTGGCTTGCAATTGGTTTACAATTAATCTAGTAGTGGTTTAGTACTTGGTAGTATTGGTTTAATATTGGTTCCTATTAGTTTAGTGTTGCTCCAGAACCGCCACGGCTGAAGATCATGCATTTTTCCCCACTACCTGATGGGCAGTCAGATTTGTTTCATTCTAAATTCCTTACCCTTTCTGGTTCTCCGAGTGCGCCTCAAAAAGCCTGCTCAAAGCAAAACCCAAGTGACTCTTCTACATATAAGAAGCTACCCCTTTTTTTGCTTGCTCATTTTCGTGGGCACCTTAGCAAGGATTGCCGCTGGCGCCTCTCCATCGATTTGACTCTCGTTGCCGGGCTGCGGGTGCCGGGCTTTTGGCACAAAGGCCAGCAGCCGGTCCTTCCGCACCAAGCCGCTGCGCACGAAGTAGCGCTCAGCGGTGCCCCGACCCGCCAGCACCTCCTACCGGCCAACCCGAATCATGGCCCAAGAAAGCCCAAAATGGAGTACATGGAACCAAGGACGATTCATCCCCTGGTGGTTTAATTCTGACCCATACCCACCTTGGATTCATGCTGCGGTCCCCTGGTGGCTTAATTTTGACCCATAGCCACCTTGTGACCAAGTGAAGCATGGATAAACGCTGGGCACTCAAAGTGATCGACCTGTGTCGATCTTCAAAGCTGAACCATATGACAATTCAGTGGCTGGGAGGAAAAGCGCAGCCAACAAAAGGTGCTTTTATTATGACATAGGTCTTTCATCATCGTCACTCCTTCAAGCTTGCAATCCATGCCTGCAACAGCTGGCTGCACATCAGGGTCAGCTGTGCTGTCAAAAGTTAAACAAGTGGAAGCTTTGCACACCCATTTCCTCCCAGTCATGGTCATGCCAGCGTCGCATTGCAGGTTGCTCATCTGCAGGTTCGGCAGCAGCCATGCTCTGTGCATCACGACGGCCGAATTAACTTTTGCGCGAGATCCAATAGAGGGAGTGGTGCTTCCAACGGACGGGGTTTGCTGCATCGTTGGCAGCCAAAACAAAAAGAGAAAAACTTTCAAGTTTCCGAAACCTGCTTTGCGGGAGATGCTCAGATGGTGCAGTGGTCCAATTGGTCAAATGTATTGCCAAGCCGAGCTGAAAGCTAAAACGGTCGCTCGTTGACACAGCCGTGCGTGTGAGAACACACGTTCTTGGCACCGTCACAAAGGCAAACGCGCTGATCTGAGGCGACCGCTGACGCAGCCTTGGCCTGATCAATCTCCTGACTGAGGTCGAGTCCCAAGAAGCATGCCTTGCACTGGCAAGTCAAAGACTGCCATTCTCAGATTAGGGAAACCCGCCCTTGGTAGATCTCAAGCTAAGTGCCTAGTCAGGGGAACATGAGATAGTTGAGAACCCCCCATGCTCTCCGAATCAAACCATTCAGAACGGCTCCTCCCAGAAAGGCGTCTCGCCCTCCAAGAGGACCTGCGGCTTCCGCCGCGCGCATGCAGCTCCTCGGCTCCAGAACTTGTGGCCGGACCGGTCCTATGTCTTGAGGCTTTTGTCAGAACCGGCGCCGCGATAAGTGATCAAGTAACACCGCCTAGGGAGAAATGCAAAATCTGCACGTTCTCAAAAGGCCCGAGCCAGTAAACCGGACAGTCAGATCGGCCACTGAGGCTCCCACCCATTAAGCCAAAAACTGGATTTTGCACCAGTGTGGGCGCAAAAGCTACAGGCAAATCACCGATTTGCTGATTCGTAAATAATGCTAACCTGCAAGTCACACTCAACAAGTCTCACCAGTTCAAGCATGCAGGGTATGGCGCTTTCTAACTTATCTGAAGAGGGATTCATGCAACATAGTAAAAAAAGCAAACATGGCTCCGTTAGCACGTTAAGGGTTTGACAAGCACTCCATCACTTCTGTGCGGAAATGAGCTAGTTCGGCCATTGATCATGGCTTGCTAGTCAACCTATAAACCTCTTGAGCCCAGGCAAGCACACTGAAGCACCTCGAGCACACAAGTACGCATCAAACGCATATGCCGATGCTTTCTGCCAACCGGCTTCGCACAATGTGTGCAGCAAAATATGCAACGAAACACATATGGGTAATATGTGGTCTTGACTATCCTGCGGCTTCGGAACAATGCGACGTGTCCCTCCCGTGCAACTTCAGCTATTGCTACATTCCTGCATTGCAGGCCATCTTGATACCATGGACCCGGAATGAAAAGTCTTCGAGGACTTGAACAACTCCCCCTGGCGATTCTGTTATTGCACGGGAGCGTCGGACCTGTCAACGTCGACGCCTTTTCTTTGTGCGCTTTGTCTGAGCGTGCGCCATGCGCTACCAGCCGCCCTTCCAGCCTCCCTTCCAGCCTTTCCAGTCACCCTTCCAGTCACCCATGCCACCCATGCCACCCATGCCACCCATGCCTCCCATGGCGCCCATACCCATGGCGCCCATGCCAGCCGCACCGGCGGCATCAGCGCTGGGCCCTCCCATAGTCGCCGAGCTAGGTCCTGACATTCAAGGAAATTAATCCACGTCAATGGAGCTATCATGAACTGCTATTGGCTTTGTAAGGGTGATGAAGTCGACACGTCCTTTGGCTTTTACGAATACGCCGATCACGTTTCCATCCTGAGCTCGCATTTGGCAGCGCTCATCCCTACCTCCCCAACTAGGAAAACCCCCTACGTTGTCTCCCTTGTCAAGGCGTGCGTTTCCCAATTAACCGCAAAAGGGTATATAGTGTTCTCTTGACAAACAAACCTTACGCTGACAAAAGCGCCCGGGTTGACCTAAAAGGTTCCGACAATAAAGCGGAGCGATCAATCCCGCTGAACCAAGGCCCCAGGCAGGAAGCGGATTGCCGCAAATCGTCTGGATCGCAGTTATGGCGTCATCTGCCACACCTGCACCCAACCCAGCATCTGGCATGTTGATCTTGTAGGCATGGGCTGAACATTCATTGTTTGCAAGCAAAGATGAGTGCTCCCAAAAACAAGCCCTTGGGTGCCCATCGGGTTGAACCCACCGAGGCATCTTAGCAGCCAGCCAAACTTCACGTAGGCTGTACCAGCGCATCCTCCAAAGTCATCTTTCGTGACTTGTACGCTCTGGACAGGACCTGAATCAAGCTACAATGCCGTGCGCGAGTCATGACATCAACAATAAAAAGCTCAGTGTGACTGATGCAGCAAACACGGATCTCTTGTTCTGGTGTCAAGGCATGCCATGCTAGGACCTAAGACTGGCCCTGCACACATGGCGCGACCATGCCAAGCGCACTGCCAAAGGGTGCAAAGACCTCAGCGAGTGGCTCGTCACAGGCCAATTGTTCGTGCGGCGTTGTCTTCGGCCTATGTCATGAAGGCCTGGAAATATCATAGGGTTTCGACAAGAAACGGGATCGCATGAAGAACTGTTGATGCCGAGCAAAAGATCAATAAACACGTCTTTCAAGCTGTCGGTCGCGAGTAGCATGCTGTTCTGCAAGCAGGTGCATCCGAACGGCATAGTACAAGTACAGCTCATCCATCTCCGGGGTAAGCCCCTGTGGGCAGGCTGCAGTTCGTGCATGCCGAGGGAGCGAAAAGCTTTCTGTGTCGACCCGTGTTACAGGTTCCGGACATGTTGGTTCCAGTGAGTCAATGCGAATTCATGGGAGCCCATGCAAGTTAGAAGCCAATGCAATGCAACTCAATGCCACAAATACTTGCGTGCCCAGCCTTGATGAGCAAGTAGCCTTGGATCATCCAAGTAGCTGAATGCCACCGGGAAAAAAAACAACCACCCTCCAAGGTGTCCCAGACTTTCAGCCAGCGGCTTGGATCGGGTTCGGAGCTTGGCACCTTGCGCAGGTGGCTTGAGAGACGCACGCCTACTTCAACCTTGTGGCCGAGAAAGGCTCGGTCAGCGACCAAAAACCAGGCCCGCTGGGCGGTTCAAGTTGGACTCAAAAACTGGTCAAATGCCAACTTGAAATTGTGGCAACATGCCCTGGAAAGGCCCTGGAAATGCTTTGAGGGGCTGCCAAAATGCAAAATCAAATCTGTGCTCGCCGCTGGCTTAAAGCCCTTCACAGAAGCAATGGTGTCGCTGACCTGCGGCTGACCAGTTCTCCCAAATGGAATGCTGGTGCTTCGACCCATCGCCCTACGCCCAGGCTTCGCATCCATGATCGAACAGTGCCAAAGGCCATGCCAGCCCTACCAGCCCTGCGCAATTCCAGTGGAGATAGGTAGTGAATGTGGCTCATCTCATCTGAGCGCGTGGCAGCTTTCTGGAACTCTGTCGTGGCTGGGCCTGGGCAAAAAAAGTGGCACCCACAACCAGATCAGTACCACCAGCTCAAGGGAATGCATGGTTGGGGCACCTCAAGGGCACGTAATTGCTTGTTTGCCTTGACATGAGCCGGCAGTAGCAAGGCGAAAGGCAGATTTGAACATGTTATCTAGTTTGGATCTGGGGAGCTCATCCTCGGTCATTGCTGATATTTGCCTTCTATACCTTCCCGATTTTACATCATGTTACACGCATCTACACTGCAAATCAACTCCCTGCAAGCAACAGTCCTCCGCTGTTGATTGAAGTCGTGAACACTCCCGTTTGAAATGCGCAGCACAAAACAGTCGGCTTGCAAAAACAACAAGAACCCCTACAACCATATGGCCAAGCGTGTACCTTGAGCCTTAGTCCAAACATCTTCTCATCTCCTCCCGTCACGCACGGAGCGGATGCAGCCAGGGCGCTCTTAGGAGCTGCCTGGAGAGCTTGGGGCATATTCACTCACCCTACTTGTCAGGAACAAAACGGCCAAGGAACCAACAGCACCAAGCATTCGCGCTCGCAACCGGCCCGCCTGCCCATAGGGCATATGCCTGGCAAGGACCCCAACACACAAAACCCGGCAAAGGTCGACTGGGCCCCAAGCCTGTTGTTTCCCAGCAAGTGTCTAAGAGGGGCCTTGGTAGGGGCCACTTCAAGCCTGCGGGGATCGGCAATTCGACCCGCCAACACCAACAAGATCTCCCGGAGCGGCAACGGCTATGAGGGCCAAGCAGTGCTTGCGGGCCTCATGTGCGTGCTTCATTGGAAAATGCTCTCAGTCTCTAAACGCTTGCATTTGCAGAAGCAAGATCTGCAGAAACACGCACGGCAAACGAATACCGACAAGTCTGGTCTCTGAGGCCACGCACTTATTTCCACTCGACGATGTCTTTAACTGCCGGCCAAGACAGGTTTAATCAGGTCTATTCTGCCGGCCTCATCCCGCGAATGTGGCGCCGTTGTAGCCCACATTTTGTCGTTCGAGATCAAAGAAATTAACATAGATCCTATTGGCTGGAACATCAAATTCTGCCAAAAGCTCAGAGATCTGCTTGGTCAAAGCACCGTTGTTCTCCTTGTTGATGGACCCGAGAGAAATCACTTTGCACAATGCACAGGGTGCCTCGCTGCCACCCCAAATGATATCCTGGCCATCCTGGACCGAAACTGCCACATAACTCTCTGGCTTGCCCAAGCAGCCAGCCACCGCCTTGGACGCCGCCTTCATGAACTCCATCTTCTTGTCACCCAGCTTCACGTTGGTTTGCACAAACAGCGAGGGGTCCGTGGCACCATCCTCAATGCACCCGAAGGGCGCCGCTTGACGGGTCGTCGTGGCCGTCTTGGCCGTCATCGCCATGGACGCCCGGCTGAAGAGCAAAGGCCCTGCCGTCGCAAAGGCGAAGCATGCGAAGAGCGCCCCGGACCGTTTGGAGCCCGAGCTCGCACTCATGGTCACGGCACTCACAGGTCTGGCTACGCTGGGACTGACCCACGCGGTGCTGCAGAACACAAGTGCCAAGGCGGCCAGGGAAATTGGAGCCGCGCGCCGGGACATGGCAACGAGCAAGCGCTCAAAGAAAGCTAAGCCAAATGCGGGACGCGCGCATGGCCCCACCTCTGCTTTGAGCGCAAGCTGAAATTCTTGCATTCTTGCTTGGGTGCCAGCATGAAAGAAACATCGACAGGAGTCTCCAGCGTGTGCGGGATATTGCCATCCTGGGTAGATGCAAATGTGTCACTGAAACGTCTGCGTTGCTCTCACCAGCATGCTCGGACCTGAGGACGGGGCGAGTTTCTCCACAATCCACTCCGCCTGCTCTGTGCTAGACATCCTGGCGGCGAAAGCTTCTGTACGCTCGGAACATTTTCAGGCCCAAGCCGCATGTTGCGCCAATCCATTCCTTGAAGCATGCATGCTTATAGGCCACCCACCCTTTAAACGTCTCGCTATGTCCACCTGTCAGTTAATACCCCCGCCTCACTGTCGCTAATGCCCAGCCCTCATACCTGGAACTGCGCTGACTGAGGGTGAGCTCTCGCTGCTGTCGCGTGCGCCGCCATTGACACCCGCACAGCGAGGTTGCGCTGCATATCATTTCGAGTGAGGTGAGAAAGAAACCACGCAAATCCACACCCATCCACACCGAATCAACAATCCCCAAAAGTGGATTGAATTTGTTGGTAGGTCGTGCACTGGGCCTTTTTTGATTAACTATGTGGTCACCAAAGCTGGAGCGAGCACGCTACAACTACTGGTGGCACTGGTGAGGTGGTGTCCTCTCGTGGCTCTTCTCTTTTCGTGTCCGCAGCGCAGGCGGAACGCATACTTTTCTTCCTCACCGGTCGCGTCCTCCTCTTCAGCTCTGCGACGCTTTCTCCGCCACGGGGCGTTTACAAGGCACCAGCTGGCCACGCGCGGGTGCAGGAGCTTTTCCAGCTCCTCACCTGTGACGGGCTTGTCACATGTAGCCCACAATAGCTCACTGTCTCCCAAAACAACTACGGCCCACATCTTGAAGAAGAGTCATTGCCTGCCAGAATGCATCAATCAAACATACCACACACAGCATAGACAAAGGTATGCAGTCAGAAACCCTTGGAAGCCCAAGGACAGCCACGCCGGGGCGCGGTTCTCCTCCTGCAGGGCCTCCCTCACCTGCGAGGAGGAGATGTCCGGCAGCTCGGAGATGATCCGGAAGTAGGGCGTCTCCTCTGCCTGGGCCCGCAGCTGCTCCGTCCAGCCTGGACGGCAAACCTCAGCTAGCGGATCAAACGCTCACTATGCAAACCAATTTGGGTTTGGGTCAAAATTAAACCACCAGGGGACCACAGGTTTTGGTCCATGTTGCCACTTACCAGGGTTCCATTTTGGGTACCTACTTTTGACCCAGAGCCATTTGAGCTGGCAAGGATTGCTTTTTCTCAATAGGCGGAAAATCAAGTGGCAAAGGATCGGGACAGCAGAACTGGTGCTTCCGGTGAGTGGCCCCAAAGTCACCCACAGCCGGCCTTGGTGAGCTCCTGTTCTCCAAACCTCCGGTTCTAGCCTCCCCCCCTTAGCTTTGCCCTGTTATGTCTAGGCCCGGGGTAAGTTGGTGATATCCTGAAGCCTTGACACTTGGCACAACATGCGATATACACCTGAAAGTTGCGTCCAGTTCTGCTTTGTTTGGGACTCCAGGGACTGTGCTGACACGGCATTCATGTTAAACCCCCCTCCGCTTTCTTGTGGGAGGGGAAGGGTTCAGAAACGATTAAACCGAATTGCAGGCTTTGCCCTCTTGGCAAGCAGTGTTGGCATGGCTGCCCGCTGCTCTTTTCCATTGGTTCAACCGAGTGCAGCAAAAGCACTGCCAGGAAGCGCTCAGCGCCATTGGCCCATTCCCACTTCTTGTAGGTCAGGACGTCGTCCGCGCCGTTCAGGTAGTAATGGACAAACCGCAAATTGGGGATTAGCTCCCTCAGCTGGGCTACGGCCCAGTATTCTCTGACGTTGCTGAGGCCCAGCCACGGCACCTCCTGCGCTTTTTGTGGATTGCTTCCAGCGAGACTCTTGAAGTGAAATCTCTTGTATTGATGACGTCAGCAGCAACAGTGGCCGAGAAAATGACAACCGCCTCTATCTCTCTCTCTCTCTCTCTTTCTCTCTCTGTCTTTTCACTTCTTTTTGTACCTCCCTTCCTTTCTTTTCTTTATTTGTGTCTTCCTTTGTTTATTGCTTTCTTTGTTTCTGTCTTTCTTTCTTATTTTCTGTCCTTCTTTCTGTCTTCCTTTGTTTCTTGCTTTCTGTCTTGTTTCCTTCTTTTCCGTCATTCTTTCTAGCTTTCTTGTCTACTTCCTTACTCCATTCCTTCCCTCCCTTCCCCTCCCTCCCTTCCCCTCCCTTCCCCTCCCTCCCTTCCCCTCCCTTCCCCTCCCTGCCTTCCCCTCCCTCCCTTCCCGTCCCTCCCTTCCCCTCCCTCCCTCCCTCCCTCCCTCCCTCCCTCCCTTTCCTTTTGTTTCTTTTCGCTTCTGCTCGTTTCGTTTTGCATATTGTCCCACCCTTTTTCTTGTCTTACAACACCAGATTGAGTCAGGTATCAAACGAGCAGGCGTAGCAAAACGAGGAGACCATTCAAGGTCCGCCAGCACCCTGAGAGATGCAAACAACAAAGAATGGGAAACAAACACCGAACAAAATCCGTGCTTTCTGCCTTTGCAGCTTGTGTTGCCTCTCTTGCTCTTGGCCACTCGGCTGAATTGTCCAGGCCTACGCTTTTTGGCTGGGCAAACCAGTTCCCACGCCATCCTCTCTCAAAGCCCGCATCGAATGGTCTGCCTCTGAAAGCAGGTGGCTCCCCATGAAAACCAAACGAAGAAACAACAAACCAATGAAAGGGGTTGGCGTTTTCCTTGAAAACTGCCAGCAAAAATAAAACAACCCTCCAATGAACGGGGGCTCCATCTTAAAACCATCTCCAGCCGCGGGGGTTCCCCGGTCCTCCGTGGCCAGTTGGACCAGCATGGAGCGGTCTTGCCAGCTCATGGCCTCCTTCAGAGAGAAAAAGCCATTGGGCCCCACCTTTTGGCTTGCCAAAAAAGAACGGCCTTATGGATCTCCGGGTTCTGAAAAGAATGGTTATGCCTGCTTAATTCCTGCAAGTCTGGTTGCTACCCGATCTTGGCAGACGTGGTCCTCACCGCGCGGGTGCAGCTTGTGCCACAGTGCGTTGTCGTTGTTCAGCGACAACAAGCCCAGCACCTCTCGGAACTCCTCCGAGACCCAACCCCCCCCCCTCCCAGCGGGTTCCTCACCCTAAAACCTGCTTTAGCAGATTGTGGCCAGGTCAAAATCCCCTACCCCCAGTGAACATCCCAATCCCCGCTAAAATTGACTAAAATGGGTGGTGCACCTACCCCAAAATGGTACCATTGGTTTTGACCCACAGCCTGGTCAAAGTGGTTGTTCACCGGCCCAAATTCGCATGGAGCAAAATTGAACCACCAGAAAAAAGAAAAGAAACACAACCGCAGGTTCTGGCCCATTTTGTGTTACCAGGGTTCCATATGCGGTACGTACTTTTAACCCACAGCCAAATGTTACTTTCCTTTCAGGAACCCTGCCAACATGGGGAACGTTGACCTTTGGTTGTCCTTCAAAAAAAGTCAACACCAGCAACGGTGCCTCCAACAAGAAAGGGGCTTTTGCTGCCGGACCCAAAGGGGACCCCCCCTCAAACTGGTGGTTTTCCTTTTTGTCTCTCTTTAAAACGGGTATCCTCCAAGGAGGGCATTTGGAGGGGAAAACTGGGTCCTCCTGGGTGTTGGACTTGGAGCTGAGAAAGCCGCGGGCTTCCTCGAACCTCGGATGACCAGTTGCCGCAAGGGACGGATGTAGGGCAGTAAGTGTTCAAGCGCGTTTCTTGTTTCGGCCTCCAAAGGGAAGCGATGACAAGGAGCAAGAAAACACGTGGCAAAGCACGATTCAGAAAGGAATAGTTATAGTATGTTATAGTGCAAAAGGGGACATGTGACCATTAATTCCACTGCGGGAAAGAAATGCCAAGACATAACTATAGAACAGGTTAAACAACCGGGAAGGGTCACAAATGAACCCTGTACTCAGCGCGCTTTTTACTTGAGCCATACGCAGTCGTAATGATGAGACTGCGCAAGTGAGACATTCATGCATTGGGGTTTTACATGGTTGATAAATACATCACGTTGCAAACTACACCCCCCCGTGCCCGAATGTGAAACAGGAGGTCAAATGAAAGGGATGAAACAACCAAAGAAACCCGATAGGCATGAAGTCCTTTTGCAGTACACAAGCACTTGGATTCGAGCGATCGGCAGTTAAGGTCTTCCGCCTCCACTGACCGTCGCTCTCGCGAGGCGTGCTCATGCACTGTACATTGATCCTCGGCCAACATGATTGAGAAGTATTATGAATATTGAATTTGAGGTGTAATTGGATGTCAGCCGAAGATTGAAATGATTGATGAAGAGATCGCTCATTCATCGCCAATCCCAATTGCGGGAGCTCTTCCACGGGCGCTGATCATCAGACCACCACGAGTCCCAGGACTGGCCCCAGCTTCCCCAGTACGACTGGCTCCATTGACGATCTTGCCATTGGCCACCGGTCTCCCGGAGCTGCGGAATGGGCTTGCGCGTCACACCGACAACTGCAGGGAGCGGGGTGGCTCGTCCAGGGATCTCGATGCTGGGGATCTCCTCTTCGACGAAGCAGAGCAACTCAACCAATACCATTTCGGGGTCTCCCACAGACGAGAAATCCCGGGTCCAGCCCATCACGGGGTAGCGGTTGCTCTTGTCAAGGCTTCCATACAATGCAGCAAATTGTTCTGGTTCCAGAAATCTGCCACCATGCACCACATACACGTCCTTCGGATCAACCTCCTGCACATCCTCCGTTGGCGGCACCAGCGTTAGCCGTGCGTGATATTTCGGCACAGCAACGCTTCCTTGGATCATGTCCTTGGTTCTCACGAAACTCGGAATAATGCATCGTGCCACCTTCTCGATAAACTCGAGGGCGGACGGCGTCAGGTCTCCCCGCGCGGCAGTGTGGGCGTAGAAGGGGTCGTTGATCAGCCTCTCGTACAGCGTGGTGTACTCCTTGTTGCGAAGAACTGCTTTCTTGGCGATGTCCTTCATGATCCCGAGGCCCCCTCTTGCGCTTCGATCTCCCCGCGCATCCTTCCGCTGCGTCAATATCTGAGTCTCAACCTGGTCCATGGAAAGCGGCACGCCCAAGCTGTTGGCCATCTCCTGCAAACGGACGACCCTGGCTATTTTCTTGATATCGGGCATGCGCTCCATGAGATGGTCACACTGGAAACAGTTGATGGAGCCGACCGGGATGAGGATTTTGCAGCGAGGGCACTCAACGTCGGGGATGTGCATGACCTCCGCGAAGCGCCAGTTTGTCGACTTCTGCTTGTTGGGATCCAAGTCCTGCCACAAACCACTCCGGCCTCGGGTTTCCCCGGGCTGCTGCGTCA